AAGTTATTTTTCCCTTTTATATGTATGTGTACACTGTTTTTGTCTAACTTTGTTTTCAAAACAAAACAAAAAAAAAATAGAAAGTGTTTCCTATATTCTTTTTTTTTTTTTTGTAAAAATTTTGGGTGGTAACATTTTAAATAAAACATCAATGGTCATAATACTTATTCTTAAGTGCCTAATTAATTATGAGTCTCTGCTGAATGTTCTTCATGAATTATGTAATCAATATGCTCATTTTTTCAGATAAGAAATCAAAGATGCAGAAAGATGAATTATTCAAAGTTTCCTCATAAAAAGTAAATGGTAGAACCAGAATCCAAACTTGAGCAATCTGATTTTAATTGCTACATGAATATTATTATACAATATGTTTTATGTAATCTAGCACAAAAAATAACAAATGATAAATTCCTTGTGTTGGTGAGATCAGGGAAAATAATGTTGCAAGCAATATAACATTTCATGATAATTTTTAAAAAGAATTCTCAATATTTGAAACTTATAAAAATTTTCAACAATAACTTCATCTCAATTTAAATTTAAGGAAAGATCAACTGTAGAAAATATAATATTTATAAGACTGATCATGCTAGCACAAGTCTTATTTTTGTTTAAAGAGAGAGAGAGAGAGAGAGAGAGAGAGAATTTTTTAATATTTATTTTTTTAGTTTTCAGCAGACACAACATCTTTATTTGTCTGTGGTGCTGAGGATCGAACCCAGCGCCTCGCATGGCAGGCGAGTGTGCTACAGCTTGAGCCACATCCCCAGCCCACAAGTCTTTATTTCAATAAAGAAAATTTTAACAGAGCCATTTATATGTTTACATGAATTGAATAATGGTTGCATTAAAAAAAAAACATGGAAAAATGTTTTTTATGACACAAAATAGAAATGACACAAATAGAAAAGTGCATGGTACAAAACAGGCACTCAATAAAACTTTTTTAAAAAATGAAAAAAAACCCTGCAAGCTGTGATTTGTAATCTGAGCAGAATGCTATGCAGCCTTTAAAATATAAAAAGTAAGTATCCACATACCTTTAGAAAAAATCTTTGGTCACATGGTCATTACTAAAAAATATTAACGATGTCCATAAAAGATGGTAAGAGATCTCAGAAAAAACCAAAAGTATATTGTGGGCTTACATTTATTTTCAATTACTTTTAAAGGTATTGTAAAGATTTCAATAATAAATTTTAATAGACTGGGGAACCTGAGAGGATTTCAGGTAGTTGCTACATTTGTTTTAGGATGGCCTTGTAGACTTTTTTTTTTTTAACTGTTTTTTTCTATTGTTACTAATCATAATGAATGACCAAAATAGTTGTTCAAAACCGGAGATTCCATAGGTAGGTCTCAATTTCAAACATAAACATTTATTTTTAGTTTTCCAGGAGGACTGACATTAAATATTCATTTTTTTAAAGTTCAAGATTTCCTGTTTGTCTTAGAAATACATGATTTAGCTAGTAAAGTGGTTCTCCATGCATGGTACTCAGATCTGCAGCAACACCTGGAAGCATGGTAGGCACTCAAATTCCTGGGGATCACTTGAGCCTTTCTGAATCAGAATTTCTGAGTGTAGTTCTTAGGTTCCTGTGTCTTAATAAGCTCTCCAGGTGATTCACATGCCTATTAAAGTTTGAGAACCACTGAGGCAGGGACAACAAACATCTACCACCACTTACACATTTCTTTGTGTGGAAATGTTCGGACTCCAAGTCCCAGGTGCTAGAGGGGTAGAGAAAATGAAGATTTATTATTTAGTTCAAGGTTCCATTTTGAAAGATGCTCCCCGCTCCCCCTCCAAAAACAAAAACAACACACACACACACACACACACACACACACACACACATAAACACACACACATTCTCGAGGGAAATGACATATATTTAAAATCTGTGTGATTAGAGATGAGAAGTGTCAGAAGTTGGTGATCAATTTTAAGAGCTACTACATACAAAAGACACCTGTGGTGAGTTTTCCAATCTTGGATAAGAAAAGAGAGTAAGCTTTTATGAAATATTTGACAGAACCTTATGTTCTTCAAATTGACTTTAGAAAAAGCAAGAGTATTCATTCTTTCAGGGAAGGAATTTTTGTTCCCAGAAAATAAGCAAATTAATAAAATCCATATATTTATTTCACATAAATGTGTTAAAATAATGAGCCACTTAAGGGAAACCAGTAAATTGGGAAAGGTTAATATTTTATCTGTTTATATAAATAAAGCATTGTAAAAAACTTCTTCAAATAATCTTTGGTGTCTGTAGGAATAACAAGCCTGCATGTAATTGTGGCATTTTTCCCAATATTCCTTCATGCCTTTGATTAAGTTTTATAGATTTTTACATGTAAGAAAACAGTATGAGCTACAAATGTCAAGGGTTTGGAACTCAACATCAATTCTGTTATTTAAGCATTCTGGGCATTAATTTTTTCCTGTATAAATGAAGATTAAGATGCTTATCTCCAAAAAGATAAAAATACCTGTGTGAATTAAATGATATATATTTTTATGATGAACTCTAGTATGGTGTCTGTCTTATTAAAATGAATGCTCAAGATTGTTATTATTTTTTCACTTCCCAGTCTGTTGATAACCACATATGTGCTTTTGGCAGATTAAAATATTAAATGAATCAACATTAAGTATGGTTAATCATGCTGTTTATAATTTTATCAGTATAGGGCAAAATGGAACAATAAAACAGAACTTGGACTAGAGAAATTCTGTTAAAAGTATAACTTCACACTTAATTTTCTCTGCTATTATGTGGTATGAAATGTTAACAGAAATCAATAAGTTTGAGGACACTATAGGTAGATTAAATTAAATTTGGAATTCATGTTCACAGAGTAAGATAAAAGAGGCTTTCAACTGTGACAACTAAAACAAGCTTAAAATATTTAGTTAATTTAACAGCCATTTTCATTATAGTCTAAAAGTAGCAGAACATAGAAATAGGATCCTTAGATGCATTCTTTTTGAAAGAGAAGTTTCATGAAACAGAGGCAGCAGAAGTCTGGGTGGTCAGCAGGAGAGATTGGCATTAGATGGTTTAATAAAAGACTGATAAGGAATGGGGAGGGAGTGCTCACCACAAGTCTTTGGATTCTCCCAGATATATCTAAGGTGAATTTCATGTGTGTGTGTGTGCACGCACACACACACACACACACACACACACACACACACACACTCAGTGAGATTTCATGTGGTTTAGAATAAAGTCCAAAAAAACTAATACAGCAATTTCTTCAGTTGTTGCATAGAACTAAGATATGAAAGGAAAAATGTGCAGGAACATAAAAGAATCATTACTAATGTCTCATCAGTCCTCACATACCAATGTGCATTTTGTTAAGGGGAGAATGAATGCTTGGATAGTTCCATCTCATAAAGATCAAAAGCCCGGGTCATGAACCCAAACTTGGTTTATCCCTTCTCTGAAATGAACACTGCTTTATTCCACAAATCTCTTTCTGAAGTTGTGTATTAGAGTATTTTTCCTTCCATGTTTAAAAACCACCTCAGGGCATTCAGTCTTTTTCTTTACAAGTGTCTTTGCTTGTAGTAAGTGATCAATAACTATTTGATAGCTTCAACAAATTCAATAAAATGAAGATATAAATAGAATTTGTTAGAATCAGAAAATATCTCATGTAATCAAATTAGACACTTAATCTGTGAGTGGTATTTAAGTATTTACTTTGTAAAAGTATTTTTGCTCTTGATTTCAACATGTCCATTAGATACAATATTAATTGGAAGAGCAATAACACTGTCCATTTTGGTTCTTGGTTTCTCATTGTAATGACCATATTGTTTGCTAGAACGAAAACAGGGATCACCGGTCCACAACAAGCCCATGTTTTAATTTCCAAAATTTCCTCTAAAAAGGGCCATTTCATCTACTAAAATAAGCCAATGTGCTCAAATATAACTTATCCACAATTCAAAAACTCCTAAGAGCTCATTATTGTGTTTCTTTTGGTGAAAAACAAAGCAAAAGGTTTCACCTGTGACAATGGAATAGCATTTATCCCTGGGGCAAACACAATGACTTTTTCTTGATAGGACCTGTTTTGTATTCTAACTACTAGTTTACTAAGGTAAACTGTATGCTCTATGTACTTAAGAAACAAACATGTATTATCATCTTTGATTTCCCAACATCTAGGACACAGCTGACAAATAACAAGTCCTTAAATAATTGAAATAAACAATGATGAACAGATTAATAATTATTTTAGTGTCTTTCTATTACATTTCCCACATTCTTTTATTTTCCAGCTGCTACCAGATTTGCATTTTCCAAATGATTATGACAAACATAACCACAAGGAATGGATTCCTTCTCGTGGGGTTTTCTGATGATCATGAGCTGCAGATCTTGTATGCTTTGCTCTTTTTGGTGTTGTACCAAGTGGCTTTGACAGGAAACTTCGTCATTATCACCATCACAACACTGGACCAGCACCTCCAATCTCCAATGTATTACTTCTTGAAGCACCTTTCCCTTCTGGACCTCTCCTTCATTTCTGTCACAGTCCCCCAGGCCATTGACAATTCACTGATGGATGATAACTATGTTTCATATGGCCAGTGCATACTGCACGTATTTTCCTTCACATCTTTGGCCTGTACTGAGGTAGCTATTCTTACAGTCATATCTTATGACCTTTATACAGCCATTTGCTTCCCACTGCACTACGAGATCATCATGGATCCCAGAAATTGTCAGTGGGCTATGATAGCTGTGTGGGTGAGTGGAGGCATCTCAGGAATCTTATACAGCAATTTCTCCAATTGTTTCATAAAATCAGCCACATTTTCTATCACATTCTGTAGGGTGAAAATAATCCATCAATTTTTCTGTGATGTCCCCCAATTACTGAAGCTCTTCTGTTTCAATGATTACCTAGGAGTGATTGGAGTAGCTGCTTTCATGTTTGTGGTAGCATTAGCCTGCTTTGTCTCCATTGCATTCTCCTATGTTCACATATTCTCCACAGTTCTAAGAATACCCTCTGCTGAAGGCTGCTCTAAGGTATTCTCCACCTGCCTGCCCCACCTCTTTGTTGTCTCATTTTTTCTCTCTACAGGCATCTGTGCATATCTAAAACCAACCTCAGATTCTCCATCTGCGTTTGACTTTATGGTATCTATCTTTTACACAGTGATACCCCCAACACTCAATCCTAGCTATATATAGTCTGAGGAATGAGACCAAGAAGGGTGTGCTAAGAAACTTACTTTTGGACAGAGAATTCTCTGGGAAAAATACGCTTTTGTCCTGTTGTTAGTGGTTCTTCAATATTATATGCAAGGAATTGTTTGGTAATTGGATCCATCAATTTGTAAAGTTAATGAAGAAATAGCATTACTTTCTGTAGATAAACTATTAATATAATCATCATCATTGAAGAAACTTTTTTCCTAATTTATTGAACATTGTATTCATTGAACTACTTTTTTGTTTTTTTTTATTTGAGAAAAATTATAAACACATATAACCTTGTAATATAGGTCCACTACTTCTTTTTTCATTCCAGTACATATACACACAAATACATACTTACAAAGACACACTAACAATCATAGCATGTTTTAATCATTTTTGTATAGATTATATTACAACAATAAGAATAAAAAGTGATAATATTTACCCAAAGTTTCACCCACCAAACAAGTCAACTATTTTCATTTTAATCTATTTAAGTTTAAATATTCATCTTAATTTTTATCTTAATATATACCAATTTTGCATATTGGTTTAAATTTATAGGCCATTACTATGTTTAACCACATAGTTTTACTATGCTAATTTTCTTTAATGCAACATAATCAATTAAACTCATCTCAAAATACAAATAATCATTTATCTTTTT